TCTGTCCACCCAATGCATCTCCATTCTCCCAGCCTCTCTCTCTCTTCCCCACAGTTTCTCAGGGCTTGAGCCCCACTCCACATCGGGCTTGGTGGGTTTATTGAGTGCAGCAGAGTTATTGGTGGAGAGCTCCTGGTTGCAGCCCTGATTTACACCAGGCAGGAATCCAGCCCTTTTGATTCATTCACACAATCAGTGCCTTCTGCTGCAGGAGTGACTCACTCTCCAGGCATCAATCTAAACTCTGACAGCCCGGAAATCCGGCATTAGCCCCGGGGAGGGAGCAACTCATTCAGTAGGAGAAAGGATGGGAAATGGCCAAGGAGAAGGAATGTGTGCCTGAGTGGCACTTACAGGAGGAAGAGGGCTGTGAAGCTGGGGAGCTGTGGCACAGAGCACAGGCAGGTCTCCATTCTTTTAGCCTGTGTCTCCTGTGCATGCTGACTGCTGGCGGGGGGCGGGGGCAGGGGCGAGGATGCAGAGGGAGGATTAGTCCCCCCACAGAGTTGCTTCCACGGAGGGTGTGCCCAGACACCAAAAAGACTGAGTTGGCCAAAAGAGCTGTTGAGGGAGGAGCATGTTTATTTTTACCTCATTCCTTAGATCTCAGAACTCATTCCGTAAGTATCAAGCTTTTAGCCCCATTGCCCACTTCCTCATCTTCCCACAGCTCCACCCTAACAATTCTCCATCTGCCTCTTCCCACAGCACAGTAAACAAGTAAAGAAATAAACAAACAGCATTGGTATTCCTTTTGGCCATGAACTTTTTCTTCCCGGTTGGTGAGAAAAACATGGATGCTCCCTTGCCATCCAGATGTAGCAGAAGAAATGAGTGTTTGCCCCTACGCTCAAGAGCTGAGGGTGGGAAAGAGTCAACCGGTGGTCACTGCAAAGCTTGCAAGCTCAGAATCTTCCAGCAGAAGCATTTCAGAAGATTCTGCTGCAGAATTCCATGAGGTATTCTGCTGGTGCTGCAGAGAGAAGTCCCTTCCATGGGAAGGCACCTTGGCAAAACCACAGGGCATCTGAGAGCTGGAAGGGGCTCTCTTGGGGCCCAACCCCCTGCTCAGGGCAGGAATCCAACTGAAAGCCTCCATTTCTTTGGTGTTTGGGCCACCATCAACTGGCCCTTTTTGTGGAGTACGTTTGTCTAAGATTCAGTGAATCCACCTTCCTGTCACTTAGATCACGACTCTGTCCTGCATTCTGGAATGAGCAGGGCAGGTGTTGTCTTTTTTCTATGTGACATGCTTTCAGTAGTTGAAGAGTGCCACCATATCCCCCCTCAATCATCTTTTCTCAAGGCTAAAACATTTCCAGCCCTTCCAGCCCTTTCTTTGCAAGACTTTGCTTCTCGTCCTCAGCCTTGGTGGAGCTGTTTCAGTTTGTCAGAATTCTTCCTAAATGATGGTGCCTCCTTATGTGGTCTGGTGCCTGGGCTTGTTGACTGGGAATACACAGCGTGCTGTGTGGGCAAAGGAGGGGGCACAGGCCTTGAGTTTCTCTCTAGGCTTCCTAGAGGCATGAGGTTAAAAATGATCCTCCAGCTGGGTAGGACTTCAATCCTTCCAGCCCCCAGCCTGCTTGTCCTCTGGCTGCAGGACACCAGGTTGGGGAAGGCTGGACTAGATGGACCTGGGTCTTCTAGAAGGACTTTTCTTGTAGGAGGGTGGTGGCATAAGTCTATTGTATCTGCCAGTGTTTGGAAACATCTGGTTTCCTAATTCCAACTGGTTGTATGACTGACCATTCCTTCTTATACCACAGAGGAATACAATGACTTTTTGAAGGAATCCCTCATCTCCAGTGCTGCAGAGACAGTCTCACTCCCAGTCACCTTCCTTGAAAGGAACATCCCAAATAAGCCTTCAGTGTTTTATGTCCTTCTCTAGTTTCAATCACCAGACTGAAAGTTCCTGAGATGTAAACAGTCAGCTTGTAGGAGTTGAAACTGCCCCATGTGGAACAAGCCAGATGATTGTCCATAAGAAAGGAACAGGCCCACCACAGCCCCCTCCTGCAAACACACCCTATGTTGGCAAACAAGGAGGAGAAGGGGGACATGGACCACAAGGAAGGGAGCGAGACTGGGTGAGCATGGAAGACTCCAGCATCGCCTGGTGTTTGCTAACCCCTCCATCGCAGTTTTGAGGTGTGGTGTGATAAATGCAGAAGACATCACAGCTACTTCACCCCCAAGGACACGAAAGAGAGAATGGGAGGGAAGAGCCGCCAGGACTGCAGGGAAAGGGGAGGTGACTCACCCTCTCCTGAAAGTGCCCTCGAAATGCCTGATGACCCCCCTCCTCGCAAAGGCCTCTCTCTCTGGGTACCAAAAGGAGTCACGCCTGAGCGGGGAGGGCAGAGAGAGCAGGCAGGAAGAAGAAACGACGCGAGACTGGGAGCTGAAGGTAAGCACGGGCGGGCCGGGTGGTTATGCGGCGGCAGGTAGGCGCGGCGCGGCGAAGCAGAAGGCTTCGATGCGCTGCCTGCTCAGGGCACCGGCGAAAGGCGCACCGGGGGAGTGCGGCGCAGAGGTAAAAGAGCCGCAGCGTCAGCCCGAGGTCTCCGTCCTATTTCCTACGGGCTCAGGAGGCCTCCCAATGCCGCGCTTGGCACGCGGTACACGGAGTGCACGCCGAGGTGCCTCAGCGCGCGTTCCCAGTTCCGCCCC